GGGAAATTCAAGTGAGTAGGAATCAAGCTGGACAAAGGATGAGAAGTGTGCTCTGAAATTATATCTGCGGGAACTGAAACTTGAGTTACGATAATCTACATCTATATACTCGCATCATCATGTGTTCATTGAAATTTCCTTGCTTAAGGACAAGCAAAGATCTAAGCCTGGGAGATTTTGATGCATGTTTATTTCACCTCACATTTATAAGTTAAAGTAGGTCAATTGCATGCATTCTTGTAGCATTTGAACAATGTTTTCATGCATTACCGTTGTATTTAACTTGTCATGTAGTTTCTTTATTTTTTTGAGAAACATGTGCATTTAGAACAAATTTTGTGGGGCTTACGTGGCTGATGTCATTCATAAGCTAGAAGTGTAATTCTCTTTTTGCTATTGGGTTTGGGCTGAAAAGGAAAAAGAAGGGAGTAGTTAGAAAGAAAGGAAAAAGGGTTGATGTGGAAAGGAGGAGGGAGTTAAAAACGGAGAGAATTATATTATGTGAAGGGGGAGACAAGAAGGACAGCGGAGGAGGAGCAGTTTTTGAGGGTTTTAATTTCTGTATGAGAGAAAAAAAAAGGGAGGGGGGAAGAAAAACTTTTCTTTAGAGGGTTGATGTAGTATTCTGTAAGACAGATTCTAAACTTATTTAATTTGATGCAGTGTAATTTTATTTATTCCAGTATCTTATCTATGATTTTTTATGTCTATTTTTAAGCAATTATATTTGGAAAAATTGATACTGTTTATGTTGTTATATGAGATAAGTTAAGTTTTTGTTTAATTGAAAAATTACACAAACTTAACTAGTTATTGTGGAGGAGATTATTAATTATTCAAGTTTCAGTGCATTTTTCTTATTCAAAGGAATTGGAAAATTAAAAGTTCAATGAATAATTTTGCTTACCTGAGGGATTAGGAAGTAAATAACAATTTTGACTCTAGTGGGTAAATTTAATTCTTGTATCAATTAAATAAGCTAGGAATTTGTAAAAAGGAATATGAAATCAATCTTCTGGTATATATTTTACTGAAAAAAAATATTTTTTCTGTTGTTATTCCTTTGCTCTTTGATTATTCAAGTCTTGATTACTCAAACTTAAGTAAAATTAATAATATAGTATTCAACAAATATTCAATTCCCGAGGACGATAATGATTACTTTTGTAACAATTGGTCCGCTTACCAAAGAAAAAATCAAGCTTCAAGTCTCACCTAGACCACTTTTAGTTACATTTATGAGTTTATATACAAAAAAATTCTCAAATGTTACAACCAAGAATTGAACCTTGGACCTTCTTGAGTGTTTGGACTGCTTTGGTTGAATTTGAAAAGCTAAAATGATGTATTCCCTTTTTGTGCAAGACTTGAACCCTAAGTATAGTCATTTCAAGTTTTGGCCTTATTTGAAGTCTAGTATGGTGAAAGCCAATGTATATATTATAGCCTAAATGATCCTCCATCTTAGAAGGAGCACAAATAAAATCATGGTTTGTCGAACATGGCATAAAAAAAAAAAATCATGTGATGTAAATAATCAAGAAGACCTACCATAATATACATCCATAATAAAATGAATGAATCAAATCCAAATAAACCTAAAAAATATTCATTTTTTTATAGTGAAGGTCATAATCATAATAACTGTATGAATAAACAATGACATTATAATATATTTTATATTTAATATTAATATATTTTATTTTTTTAACTATTGTTATAATTTTTTTAATATTTTACTTATAAATTTATAATCTTAGAAAATGGTTCCCAAAACATATATTATATTATTATAATTAAAATAAATAATATTATATAATTAAAATATATTATAAATATATACTATTATTTTGTAATTAATATAAATATATATAAATAACTCTAAATAAATCCTAATTAAATAATATATATATATATATATATATATATATATATATATATATATATATATAATAAACAAATAGTGATATCAAATACGATTTTAAAAGGAAAATAAAAAATCATGTCAGGTAACATGATTTTATTACACCAAACATCTAACCTAACATAATTTTATGAAAAAATATATATATCGACCAGGTAACACAACTTATCTACATCCATACTTTTCTAAAAATGTGTATTAAATCAATAATTTAAAAAATAAACTATATCATATAAAAAAAGAAACATCTTTAAAGATTTTACCATAGCCAACATGACATATTGCACTAATGACACCATTAACATTGCATTTATCCCTCACCCTTGCAAGTGTCAAAATATCGAACTTAGATTAAGTAAATAAAATTAATAATTTAATTTGATCTATATTTTAAAATATATTATAAATTTTGATTTAACTTGAAAAATGTTAATAGATTAATTTTGATTTTTTTTTAAATTATTAATTTGATTATATCAAAATAATAAATTTAAAATATTTAAATAAAAAAATATTTTTTTAAATTTAAATTATATTAATAAATTTATTTTTTATTTTAAATATAATAATTTTATATATAAATTAAAAGAAAATAGATCATTCAAATTTAAAAAAAATTAAAAATTTATTTTTTTATTATCATTATAATTGTCATTATTTTTAAAATATTTTATTTATCTAAAATAATAGTTCATTATAACTATTAAATCCTAAATAAATAAATATTTAAGGCTTATTCTTATATTTACTTATATAATAAATATATTTATTGTCTAATTAATTTATTATATATATATATATATATATATATATATAATTTTTAATAAAATATTTTTTTTAACTTTGATTTAAGAAATAATTATTTTTATAAAATGGTTTTACTCGTTTGCTTACATGTTAATCCCATTTAAACTCATAAATAATGAAAATTGGATCAAAATAGAAGTTATTAAATTTATTCCACACGTTTTTTCAATCTAACATGATATCATATCACAACATAGGTTGAAAAATATTATATTTATAGATATAATAAAATTACGATATCTAAATGAAATATAAAATTTATCTTATAACTAGTTTTATAATATTAAGTAGTGCTTTTTTATTTTTAATACAAATTTTGTATTTTTAATTAGACGCATTTATTTAATGTAATTTTCTAATGTTAAAGTTAACATACTTTTCAATTTTCAATTTAATATTAAAAATAATTCCAAGAATATTAATATTATTATATTCAATATTAATATTAAGAAGCCTTCATTATCAGATATCTTTATACATTGAATCAAACAGCTCTCAATTTTAACATATCTTGCTAATTCTTGTAACTTCAGTGCAATATTTGTATTGGAGTATCGAAACGATCGCGAAAGAAAAAACTAAATAAATTTAATCTCGCTTAAAAGACCGAGAACGACGAAATGAAAGCGACCATAATGTTCATCTACATTGTCTAATTGAACAAGAAGAAATCAAAATATAAAATAAAATAAGTAATATGATGAAAATAGGGAAATTTAATATATATTTATTATAATTCTATTTTGAAATTGGTCTGGAGCACACAATACGATACTCACAAAGAAAGTGGGGTCTGTGTTGTTCGTCAGATTAAAAAATAATGATGCTTCTATAAGAAAGAAGAGTTATATTAAGTCCAAAAGAAAAAGAAAAAGAAAAAAAATAGAGTTATATTTTTCTTAATAAAGATAATGTCTGTGAAAAATTATCTTATTTTACTCTCTTTTAATAAAAAATTTACGTTGTGTAATGTGATTATTTATTTTTTGTGCAAAAAAATTTAATAAAAAAATATAATTTGCTGCTGATATGTATGAGACTTATTTAAAAAAAATAGAATGTATGTATGACATTTTAATTTTGAGGACAATATAGTACAAATTTAAAAAAAAATAGTAATATAATTATAACATGATGAAAAAGAAATTGTCCTAATTGATAGTAGTAACTTATAAAAGTATTTATAGAAGTAATTATTAGATGATTGGTGCTATCATTTTTACATGTTGGATATGAAAATTAGATATAAAATCAACCGCAGAATGCAATCCGAATATCTCATATGACCATATTCAAGGGCCGGCATATCGATAATTTATTGAACTGAATTTTAACTTATTTTAAAATATTAGAGTTTTGAAATGCTTTCTTGGTTAAATCGTGATTTTTTTTTTCAAAAACTAATATTTCAATGAAGATAATGTTTTTATTTTTTTTCCCCAAACAAATATTTTTTAAACAAATCTATAATAATACCTTAATGTGTTGACAAAAAAAAAAATGGTATTGGATGCGTAAAATAATTGAAAGTTAGACAATATTTTGATGGTATAATTAAAAATAAAAAAATAATTTTGACGTCAACTTTAACATAAAAGGTTTTTGTTTTTATTTTCATTTAAATATGATTGCTGATGGTAACTTTGATAAAGATAGAGATATTTGGCATTCATATTTTAGAAAATCCACATTTAAGTCTAATTTAATTTTGTGTATCTTTATTTATATTTTAGTTAATTAAATTTTTTAAGATACCAGGAATTAATGCTTAATTTTATAGTTCAATTAAACTAAAAAACTAATGGAAACACAACATGTGTAAAATTAAAAAATTGATCAAAATTAGAGATTTGAAAAAAAAAAAAAAGTTAGATATATCTATTTAAAATAGGAAACAAAAGTGGAACGAAATAGAAACAAAATTTTATTTAACTATGTTATTTTAATATCTTAAACAAACAATTGATGATGCTATATGCTTTGAAACAAAAGTTCTACGTAGCCTTCACTCACATATTGTTCCCTTGTCATAGAATTTCCAATGGATCATCACTTGATCTCATTCTTAACCTTTTTTCTATATTCACTGTGCTTCATCCTTTTTGTTTCCCAGTTGTTGAAAGTGGGAAGGAGATCCAAAATCTCAGTGAAAACATTGAACCTTCCCCCAGGGCCATGGAAGTTACCTCTCATTGGAAGCATACACCACTTAGTTGGCGTACTACCCCACCATCGCCTGAAAGAACTAGCACAAAAACATGGCCCTCTCATGAACCTTAAACTTGGTGAGGTATCAACCATTGTGGTTTCTTCTCCAGAAGTTGCCAAAGATGTCATGAAAACCTATGATGCCATCTTTGCTCAAAGACCCCATCAAGTTGGTGCAGACATCATATGTTATGGTTCCACCGACATTGCCACTGCCCCATATGGGGGCTATTGGAAGCAGCTAAGAAAAATATGCTCACAAGAGCTTCTAAGCAACACACGTGTGAGGTCCTTTCGATCACTAAGAGAAGAAGAAGTGAAGAATTTAGTAAGATATATTGAGACAAACAATGGTTCTTGTGTGAACCTCAGTGAGAAAGTGGCTTGCATGGCAAGTGCCATCATTGCAAGAGCAGCTTTTGGTGAAAAATGTAAGTACCAGGAAGAGTTCATTTCCCTTGTCAAGAAACTAGTGAAACTGGTCGAAGGTGTAGTTATTTTTTACCTTTTCCCTTCTCACAAATGGATTCATGTGATCAATGCGGAGAAACATAGACTGGAGGAGTTGCATAGAAAATATGATGTAATCATCGGAAACATCATTAGAGAGACAGAAGAAAAGATTGGTGAAGTAGAAGTTAAATAGTCTCCTCTCTGTTCTTCTAAATATTAAAAATCAAGATGCCCTTGAATATCCTTTGACAATCGACAACATTAAGGCTGTAATGTTGGTGAGTGTGGGCATTACTTTCTGCTACCGTTTGCAGATTTTACTGCATGTAATAGGATTTAGGACCTAACCTTGATTTCATGTCTATATAAAATTAAATAAACAAAAACATGTATTATTTCAGCTAGCCTTACTGATCTGGTGCATATATACAGAAAGAATAATTTCTGTTAATTTTACGTTCTGTAATGCAAAATATAGAAAATTTGAAAAAAAAAAACTCATCATAAGATTCTAGAGACCAGGAAGAGATAAAAATACAATTTATTCTGTAAATATTTATTGTTAGAAGCTGCTTTTTGCTATGGGTAGGTTTTGTATACATATCACATATGCAGGTACAAAATTCAAAGCTAATAACTTAGTGAATCATTTTCGTGCTGTAGAACATGTTTGGTGCTGGAACTGATACATTATCCGCAGTTATAGAATGGGCCATGTCAGAGATGCTGAAAAACCCGAAAGTAATGACCAAAGCTCAAGAAGAAGTTAGAAGAGTTTTTGGTAACCAAGGATACACCAACGAAGAATCACTTGAGGAACTAAAATTTCTGAAAGCAGTCATAAAAGAAACAATGAGATTGCACCCTCCTTTCCCTCTTCTTCTTCCAAGGGAATGTAGAGAAACTTGTGAGCTTAAAGGGTATACAATACCTGTTGGAACGAAAGTGATAGTGAATGCATGGGCAATTGCAAGAGACCCTGAGTATTGGACTGATGCAGAGAAGTTTTATCCCGAGAGATTCATGGATTGTTCAATTGATTATAAAGGGTCCAATCATTAACTTATACCCTTCGGTGCTGGAAGGAGAATATGTCCAGGTATTTCTTTTGCGGTATATAATATTGAACTTTGCCTTGCACAACTACTTTACTATTTTGATTGGGAACTTCCAAATGGAAACAAGGAAAACCTGCAAATGACTGAAGCTTTGGGAGCCTATTCAAGAAGAAAAACAGATCTCATCTTAGTTCCCATTTCTTACAATCCTGTTCCTGTTTCATAAGACCTTAAGTTTTAGTACCTATGATGCTGGAAAAAAAAATGTGTTTTTTTCTGTACGATCAAACGTGTGATTAAGGTTTCTATATTGATGAATTTCATCCTCAAACATATATAAAACAACATATACAGAGATTTTAAAAATCTGAGAATGAATCTCATTATATAAAAATATAGGAACTTTGATCACGTTTCACGGTTGTCCTTGTTCCCTTTCCTTAATATCACTTCTGTGTTTAAGTTATTGTGTGTAAGTGGAAACAAGATGTGAAGTTTCTCTCTTCAAAATGTATCCATTTTATATTAGGGTTGTTTTCCTTGATCTCTTTAATGTATTTTAAGATGCTTTGCTACGCCTATGTATTTATCATCTTTATTAAAATGACTAGTACACTTTTTCATTTAGCCTTTCCAAGTGTGATGTGCCATATTTAATGTTGGCATAAACTTTGCAAGGAGTTCCATAGCTATTATGAAATACCAAATAGTGCCACAAGGACATAAAGGTAAAAAAATATGGAAAAAGATTGAGTTCTTCACAAATTAAAAATATGACCCTTTGAAAGTAATGAAAAATTCAGTTCCTAAGATATGACATATTGGTGGTGTTTGAGATAATGTAGTTGTCTTACTCGCAATTAACTGGCATTATTATCTTCCTATTCTTGCAACTTTCTCTGGGCAATTTGAAAAAAGAATAATTTTATTTTACATAGTGCTATTCAACAATCAAAGTGATGAATTAAAGGCAAGCTTTCCTCGATAAATAAATATTTCAAATTTAACTTTGTAAAAAAATAACACTTTTAACATATGGAATTTATGTAAATCCGCTCCTAGAAAGCCAAAATATTGGTTGTGTTGCTAACCTTATTTCTGATAAAATTTCTAACGCAGTACTTGTACTAAAAATTGAATATAATTTTTTTTTATCAGTTCAAATTACACCTAAATTGGAAATTCTATTTAAGCATATTGTATTTTTTAATAATTGGAAGAAAACTTTAATCTAATCTTGTTTTCTACATATATTTTTTCTAGTTAAATACAAGTGATAAAATGAAGGAATGTACAGCAACACGGCTCCTTTCTTTACATTTAACGCGGAAAACTACATTAGGGATGACTGAAAGGATTTCAAATATAACTTATTATTTACTCGATACTATACATGATTCTAGGGCTTATTTCTTAAGTGGTGGGCACTCACTGTAGCATTATCCATCTGCAACGAAGTACTGTGGGAAAATTGACTAGCCAGTGGAGCTTTGATGAGTTACCTGTTGTTTGGGGTTCCCCTTTATTTGTAGGTATGAACCTAACCAGATTTGACATGGAATATTGAATACAGGACATATATATCTAGGTTGTTCCGGAACATAAATCGTTGTACAGATAATTAGAACATCACTACAGCTTATTAAAAGACATTGTTCGGTGAAACTGTGATTCCAAAACTGATAAAAGACTGTAAGATGGTTACTTTAGATGCAGACAAAATTTAAACCGTAATTTTTTTTTAAATTTGCATAAAAATTAGCTTGTTGTACAACACAATGGAGAGAGAGAGAGATAAGAGAAGGATTCTTGTGTCAAAATCAATGAAGTAGAGGGAAAAAGAAAGAAGAGAGGAAGTGTCAGCTTTATTCAAAGTTGAATAATTGAGACCTGCACATTTCACCTTCACACTTCCTATATCACTATCAAGGCTCTAGGTATGGTGGGACAACCATCAATTTTGAGCTTCAAAAGTATATACGATTCGATGGAAACTGCTGAGACAATGATATCTGTTAAGAGTGGGCCTCAGATCCATTGAGAGAGAGAGAAATTAAGAAAGACATAGATTCATATGGATCTTGCTTCACAACATACAAGAGGATGGAAACAACTAAGTTACAAGGTAATGTAATGACCATTTTCTTTTTCTCCACGTATCTGTTATTCTTCTACCAACACTATATCACTCTCACGTTGCAACAAAACTTGTTTCATTGTTCTTTAAACATGGCTGAGAGAATATAATATAGAACCTGCAGTATGTATATATTGTGTTTTGTGTAGGTATTCATTAATTGTATTCAAATCTAAAACAACGACCAACCTGTCCATTCCTTTCTTCCATCACATACGGGTCATGTTGTTGTCGATCTACCTGTCTTCATTTCTTAGACCTAATTATAAACATGCAAATATTGGTACTTTTTATTTAATAATTCTCATGTATATACACCACTTTATTAATATTTTAATCATATTTTTATGAGTGATTGTAATTTCCAACAATAAGATCATCTAAGAAATAAATGAATTGGCAAATGCTAAGACAGTAGTTAAAAAAAATAAAAAAGGAGAATTTTTGTTGGAGAATGCACTCATAATTTTTTAATAAATTTTCATGTGATTTCGGTATTTTTTTTTTTAACATTAAGAAAATTCTTCTAACTGTTGACATTAAATTTACTTATTACAGACATCTTTTTATGGGTTAATAATTAATTTGTTGTTAGCTTGTGTAAATTAAGGAGATTGGTTTCATTTACACTAAAATGAAACTAAGGAGACAAGCTAGTCATTCTGAACCAGAACTTTTGAGGATCACGAATTAAAATTCTATCTTCTTGTGTATGTGTGGTTATAAATTGTGGTCAACACAACTACGATTGGTCGCAATATTCTATCGAAATCAACATCCTCTAGAACAACTAGTTATCGTTATCTTGATCCACGATGGTTGTTTCTAATAATAGCATACATGTTTATGCAATTGTCGTTTTCATCATGCACGAATGCATGTATATAGCTATTAGGCTAACCCTGTAGACCGCACAACCATTTGAATAATTGTTTTCACAACCGAAAGAACCTAACCTCAATTAGGTTAAATTAGGACATCTGTGAGAGGAAAACCCTGTTTATGATCCTGAATTTAGTTGAAATTCTCAATTGTACTTTTAAAAAAAATGTAGCCATACATCAAAAATTGATTGTACCAATGTAAGCAAGAAACTTATTTGTCTAAACACAATTTTACCAACAAAAACTGTATAGAAACATTTTCATAAATAGTAATAAAAAGGAAAAAGAGAAATTAATTGTAATGAAATATAAGAATATGTTTGGAATTTAATTGTGTGAGGTAATGCTTTGGTTCTAGAGGGCATATCTCTCTATCCTATATCTTATGATACAATTCATCATGTTTATAAAAAAATGTTTTCAGAGAAATTACTTCCAATAGCTTATAATGTCCTGGGTTTTATAGTAAGTTTTGAGCTTTTTGGACATTGAATCAAAACATGGTAACTATTATAAAGTTTGTAATGATTTTAAAAACGTTTCGCACAAATTATATTTTGGAACGTACAATGTATATATACATTTCTATTTCTTTAAGGTTAAACTTTATATATATATGCCTTCAACCAACAAAATTAGCACTCTGTTTAGGTTTGATACTTAATAATAATATGTTTCTCTTTTTTCTATATGAAAACAAAATTTTAATATTTAATTTTTACGAAACTTTTCCATTAACGAAAGGACATAAACATTATGATGTTAAATTGTAAATAAAGGGAGGTCAGTGTACAAAAAGATATATTTTTTTAATATAATATTTTTATGCACGTAAAACTATTAATTATTTTTAAAACTATATTATAATTTCTTTGGAAAAAATTATACCAGAAAAATGAAAAGAGGGACAGATCAATACTTTCTGAATCATTCTAATTGTATAGTAGCCAAATTTTTCTTATGATCTCACATAAATAACTTGTTTTTTTTTAATAATTTCTTATTTCAATCATTCTGTAGAAAATTTTGTACTTCTATATTATGTTTGTCATTCTTGGTCAAACCTACAAGGATTAACCAACAGAGATTAAGTTATATATATATATATATATATATATATATATATATATATATAATTTGAAGTTCCTTGTCTGTCATTTTCATTGGAAGACAAATCATGCAGTAGTGATGTGACACATTTAAGTATGTCATCTCAATCTCAAAATATGTCATTTCAATTTAGAATATAATATGATATTTCTAGAATAAAAAATCATTACTTATTAATAAGTGATGATAAGGATTATTTTCAAAATATTAAATTTATAACAATAAAAATTACTACAGATTTTAAATTATTCTTGAGACTAAAATTAAAATGCGCAACATGCATACAAAAATGACAGCACAGAATAAAATTTCGTACAAATTAAAAAGGTCCCCACAAAGTGAATAGATGAACTATAAATGGTGATTTATTTTTTAATCCAAATATATAGTGATGGAATTATTAAAACCAAAACACTTGATTTATTGAGTTTTTTTTACCCTTTCTTTTCATATATATAATAAACAGAAATTGAAGTTCGTGATTTTTACGTATTACAAAGTGATAAATCGAAAAAATGAATCTGTGTATTCACGATTTCATTTTTTAGAGTAGAAATTTTTTATCTGCATTCATTTTCATTATGTGTTTTCTTCGTATATAATGTTTTCTTAACTTTCATATCAAATCAAATTTAATGAAAAGTAAATTTTACATTTATTAATTTCTTAAGCATAATATATAGATATTTGTGGATAATCATTAAGACAATCTTCAATCAATTAAATTATTTTTTAATATTTTCAAAATTAAAAGTTTAAAAAGATGATATTTTTATATTTTACATGTTTTTATAACCAATAAAGTAATATTCTTTTAATTAAATTATTTTATAATTTATACCCTTTTAATTCTTTTTTTATAACTGGGGACTAAGTTGGTGTATTTTAAAAAGAAAATGATACCTTTAATTACAACTTGCTGAAATGAATATCTAACTCCAAATCTTCATTAAGAAATCCAAAAAAACAACTTTAATTATACCATTTTAACCTGTCATATATGTATAAAGGGATTAGGGTTGCATGTAATTTAGATTTTACCCAACTTCAAACAGTGTTGGTTTTGAAACATGGACCACTGTAAGGCATCTACAAGTTCTCATTCGTACAAACACTAGTCACAAGACACATCGTATCTTCTACAGCTTTTGTATGGCATAATCTTAAACAGTTTCACTGCACATGCCATGGTATATATAGCTATACCTCTCACATATTTTCTATCTGTCTTTACATATGCATGTCAAAAACATATTTAAAAGGAACAGAAACAATTTGTTATTGTTCCATTTTTGGAGTTTAAGAAATATTTTGCAGCATGAACTATTGTGTTGTGAGGGTTGTTAGTTATAATGGTCTTTTGGTGGAGCTGGTCTGGAAGATGGATTGTGATAGATGATAAATATAGTTGGTGGTACATGTTATTTTTTGTGGAAAGTGAAAAACAGAGAGGGCCCTCAGATTCAAATAGTCTCCTCAGCTTTCAAATTCAATATCTCTACTGAATGAAGGGAATAGGAATAAAATATGCTACATGTGATCTCTGAATAGCTGTGTGGTGAATTGTAGAAAATAGTAAGCTGTAACCGACCAAGACCTAATAATCTTAAATTGAGAAGTTGAGAACAAAGATATGGTCATGTGAAATTTCACCATTCTAGGGCAACATGGTTCTTCATTCAGGTGTGGACACACTCTTAATTTTCAATTTCAAGTTTGTCTCTACATCTACCCTATTTCTCCACACTCACCTACTTGTCATAAATTTGGGCATGGAATTAGAATAATCCAAACTCTTAAGGGTTAAGAAATCCTCGGATCAAATTCATGAGTGAGCAGACTCACCAAACTATGTGAGGAAGAAAAAAGGAAATGCCAAATCAAGAAAGATAAGATTTCACCTATTTAGTGTAGGAAATCCAAAAAAAAATGGACATCCCATGAAATCCACTTGAAACTTGTAAGAAGAAAGTTGCAAAACTTGAGTCCAATTATTGGTTCTATGCAGTTGAAATTGAAGACCCTATTGCACCGATGCAAAAATTTGATTTGCATTAATGGGGAGCGAGTAAGGCCATAGAGCAGAATACATAGATGTATCTATCAAGCTATTCTCTGTCAAAGAATACACCATTTTCTTACACAAAATTTGTCTATACCCTTTTGCTTTTGGAATCTGAGCAAATTGATGGACTTTTTAAACAGTCCTTTTGACCGAAGCTCATGACATCCCTTTCTCTTTTACTATGTGTCATATATCAATGGCTTGAGTGTTCCTCAGGTCACAGTCCTAACAACTACCCATCATGCTCACACGTGCATCACCAGAGGCTATTCCTGTAAATACATGGGTGGTTCCTCCGTGTGAGAACTGGCCCACACTCTAAGGTACCTAGCTGCTAGAGCATATTAATACACCAGATGTGCAGGACATTTTCAACATCTTGTACTTTTTTCCATTCCCAAAAAGTCCATGTGGAACCGTGGTGAACCAAAATATTGTATTTTTGTGAATTATTAAGTACATAATGAATCTTTAATGCAAGTACCATGATATTCCAAAAGCTTTCCATATCTCAACGGGGGTTGAAAATTGAACCTGCAGTTTAAATATAATTGTTCACCCTTTTGAACCAATTTTTAAGTATTAAATAAAATTACTGAAAGTCCCACGATTATATGGCTTTCAATAATAATAAGAATATATTAAAAATGCTGTCATTATCTTATTTTTAATACATAATATGTAATCTAAAACCATTAATAATGTCTCAGAAACAAGAGAACCATGCAAATGTTTGGTTGATAAAGAATAGAAAATAAAGAAAGCAAGCTTAAAGATATTTTGTGTCCTTTTACGAAATGGATTAGTGGTTATCATGTATCCAAATACCAAACTGCAGCCCCAATAATTTATAGTATCTTGACATTACATTTGAAAAGGAGAACTATTAATGAAATGACGGTAGAAAAGAGCATGGAAGGAGCAGTCAAAAACAGAAGCTGGTTAAAATTGAAGAGGGTTGCCCCAAGTTTCTCTTTAGAGAACAAAAACTATATACAGAAGGAGAAAAGGCAGAGGAAAACAGAGGGAGGGGTGAGAGCAGGAGGCATATATCAGAGTTAAGAGTTGGTGTTACTTTAGCTTTTCTGGGTTTGGGAATCGTTGAAAGACAGTGGAGAAAGCCTGCAAGAGAATCCGAGACCTAAACATGGTAAAGCTTAGGAAGTGATGATCTGCATAGATTCACCTTTGTTTTTCTTCCTTTCTTTTTAACCTCTCCAATAAGTACTGTGCACACACTCACACACACACACCCCTCTGCCACAACACACAACCCATCAGATAAGCCGTACCACTACCACACTCCATCCAAAATTTCCACTCTCTCTACCTCCTTGCACCTTTATTGCACGCTGCTCTCACTGAGACAAAATAAAAGTGGTGTGAGAGAGTTGAAAAGCACAAAAGGGTGTGACTTTGTCTATTTGAGACAAATGGGCTCAGTGTTAGGTATTTGTTTAGCTCTTATTTGCATGGAACGTGCAAGCCTTGGTGTTGCAAACCCTACTATTTGCTCATAGCCTCAAACACTACTCTTCATAGGGTGATAGAGTGAGTGAGAGCGTGAGTGTGCTTGTGCGTGTCATATATCTGCAGCCATCCCAGTGTTGGTGTTGTAGTGAAGGAATTTTCTTCTTGTTCATGGAGAGAAAGAGAAAAACCGCTACCCTTGTAACCAAAACCCATCTTTCTAGTGTCTCCTTCTTTTACATGCTCTCAATTTGCACACTGATGTTCATCAGTAGAACTACCACTGCCTCCACCATTCCATGTTTAGGTATGCAATTCTTCCACACTTATTAATTACTCTGACATTTCCACTATAAATTTTTCACCTCTCTTATTCTATCTAACTCCGTGTCATCATAAATTTATAACATCTTCATCCAATTCGTCCTTTCTCCATTGCAGATACTAAGTGTCCCATGTTCACCAAAGCTGATAGAGATTTTAAGGTATAGACTGGTCCTATACATTCTTTGTCCGTACACCTTAACTCAACTTCAGTTATTGCTGTAGCACCTAATTAAGATTACCCCATCATCTAATTAATTAACCTCTTCCTAGGTTATATTTTTTTCATTTATTTAAATTGACTAATATTTTCATATTTTAATAAAATATTAACTTTTTAATTTGATTTTTAAATAGATTATGTTAATGTGTGTATTTATAGTGAAAAAAGAAAAGCAATGAATTTTTATGAAGAGAGTATAATAGTCTTAACAAGTGATATATTTATTATTATTATTATTTCTTGTAAATTACAGCAATTTGAGATGGATAAAGTAAATTTTAGAGAAGAATTTCGAATTAATGTAGTGATAATTGAAAAGGGTTGTGATTTTTGGAGCGAAGAAATGAATTGAGGATGTGGATGTGGTTGTGGTTGTGGGAGAGTGTGATGTGCAACTAACTGGAACAAGGTTTGGATGGTGACAGCCTTCAAAATTACAGAGACACCGCTGGAAAAAACTGATAGTGGCTAACTTGCGCCAAAATAGGTGCAGGGGTGTAATGGGACCCATTCAATGTGAGCCGTCAGATGCATGGACTCCACCGTGATTACGAAACACACGTGGTGGTGGTACCATCTGCCTCCCCTCTGCTTCCACCGTCTTTATGCCGGATAAATATTCCCTGCGCTCAGCCAATTCACCCACTCACCCGTCACAGCCGTTGATGAAAATCATACGGATAGCGTAAAACGCACGTTTAGATATAAACTGTCGGGTGTTTCATCCAACGATGCAGATTTGTTAATGTGAGAAGCGGTGAACGCAGGAAATGTTTTTCCGGCTGTTGCTGAATACTTCTGCTCTGACCCATTATTCAATCATGCTCGGCGTAACACCACCCGCGCACGTTAGAATGAGGTAGGGAAATTAGCTGTCGTGTTTGTTTTCTCATAGCCACAAACACGAGTCTGGGTAACGTGCGCGTACAGTGTACAATGCTCAGCGCTTTCACCGCAAAAACGCGACCACAGTTGTATTATGGCCGAATCATGGTCATGATGGTGCATGTCAGCCTCGTCTTGTACATATTTTCTCCACACTTGGATGTGGCCCCATATTATCACAACCAATTAATAATACAATATACCGTTTTATAGTTATCAGATAGCTATCATTTTTAATTTATTTCATCATAATCGACTTCAAGTTTGCATCTTTAGAATAGAAGTTATTCTCTGGTTGAAAATATTTTAAATTTTGTAAAAAAATATTAAGATTGTTGCTTCTAATTAACAGGAATAATGTTTATAATTTTAATACTCTTTGAATTATTGGTTAAAACTCGTTGGACACATTTCATTCATTGTCATATAGTGTGAAAAGGTTAATTTGGATTGCTTTTGTTAAATTTCTTTACAATGTTGAAATTGATTGTTTTTGAACGAAAATAAAGAGGATAATTATAATTATCTTAATTTAGCTTTGACTACTGGTTAATTATTTGATTATGATTGTTGGGCAGGAAAATAAGGGGAACATGGGGCCTAGCTTGGTGTCTGGAAGTAAAATAGAGGTCTCGTCAATGCCCAGAAGGCTTCTAGGTGGGCCTGGGTCATCGCCGCCTCGGTGCACCTCCAAGTGTGGCAAATGTACACCATGCAAACCAGTTCATGTGCCGGTGCCGCCGGGTACTCCGGTGACCGCCGAGTACTACCCGGAGGCATGGAGATGCAAGTGTGGCAACAAGTTGTACATGCCATGAATATATTTTCTGAGTATGATGTATTTTTGTTGGGTTTAATATATAGTTCATTTTATTGACTATAAAACCCACTTCTTAGTTTGATGAGTTAATTAGCTTTAGCTTGTGGTGGATATTGGATATGAAAAGAGAGTACAGAACTTGATTTGATGTGAAATATAATATCTTCAGAGTGATTCACTGCTAAAAAAGTTAGATTTTTTATTTTTTTTTATCTTGCTTTATCTAGTTATTTTAAGTATTTTACGTGAATGTACCGACGTAGACTTTCTACGTCAGATATAAACTAATTAAACGAAAATCTTACATCGGTTATGATATTTATTTATGTAATGTGTTATTTTTCTTTAAAAATAGTATAATAATATGGGTTATTTTTTAATTTATTTGTTTTGTTCTTATAGCCGCAAAAGGAAATGAATCAAAATATAATATATATGTGTGTGTTTTTTTCTGATGAAAGAAAAAAAAATCTTAATGCATGATTTTTGTGTGCAATTTTCAGTAAAATGTTATAAAAGGTTGAGAGAAGAGATCTCGAATCTGAAAATATTATTCATGTCTAAATATTATTCACATAAAATAAAATGATGTATGTAAAAAACCAAATATTAGTTTATTATATAAAAAATTAATATAAAATCTAGTTTCTATATTAATTATACATATAATGTTGGCAAATTTTTGGGTCATGTATATATATGATACATATTTAAATGTGTTAGGGTCATTATTTATTAAGCCAAATAATAAAATGATCTGAATAAATTAAAGTTTTGGCTAAAGGCATATGTCATGAAAATATGATTGTGTAGAGACCATAGAGTAATTTTTAATTTGATGAGGGACCAAATTGAAAATACTAAAACTTAAGTAATTAACCTAATTTTGGTTATATAAAGGGTCATGGTCCCCTTCCGAGAGCACATAGACAGTAACACGATTCATGATCCGTTCTTTTCTTTCTATCCCCATCAAGAGAGAAAATCAAGAGGGAAATACGAGTGCTCTTCAGGTGGAAGACCATAAGATCAACTCAAAAGTGCTCTACAAAGAATATCGTCATTATGACCAATTCAGGTACGCTTTCGCATTTAGTTTATAACATGTTTACAGTATGAGATTATTGATATATGTTTGATCATTAGAATGAAGATCATATTCAATTAAAGTTTAACCTAACAATTGGTATCAGAGCAACCCATACTTGATTCATGTTTGCATTTGGAAATTAGATTTAACAAAATTGAGATTTAAGAATTCACATAGAGAATAATCTCCAAATTTTACGAACCCTAAATTTAAATTTGGGGTAAAATCCCCCATTTTAAAACCTAATTTCGAATTTGAGGGTGAAAACCCCAAACTGCTTCTGCTCCTTCGTCTTCATTGGCTAATTAAGTCGCGGAGTTGCTCGCGACGGAAAGGGGAAGCGTTGGAGAGGTTCTCCAGCAATGGCGTGCTGACGGTGATGGTCATCAAGAGCAATGACGCGTCTGCACATTGGTCGTCGGCGATGGCACGGTGGTTCATGTTCCTGGTCTGCTGCATCGTGGTTGCGAGCGGCGACGGTGTTATTATCCAACGATGGTGGCACACTCAGGAGGTTTCATACGGGGGTTTTGCAGCGGCGATTGGGGTTGCTTCAGTGCACCTAGAAGCAGAAGGAGGAAAACAATTAGTGAGAAAAAGGGAGAGAAAGAGGGTTAATGTCGAGTTAGGGTTTCGAGTTGACTCACTAAACCTTTTGCATTTTGTGGCCGATTTTTTGTTTTCGCCGGAGAAAACTCTCAGTCCGGTCTCGCCTGCTTTTGTATCTGGTACGATAGCAGTTTGAAAGGTTCGGTTTTTCCGGCGAAGAGTATGGGATTTTTCGGTGATTATTTAGTCAATTGAGTTTTGGGGATTCTCGATTTTGACCTAAAGCAAAGGTCTTTACACAAAATTTCCACTGGATTTCGTGTTCTCTTCCATTTTGAGATGTTTAGACCAAGTATAACTGTGTGTGTTTGTGTTAACGGTGTTAAGAGATAGGGTTCTTGTTGTGGAGTCGTTGGTGCCGCCAGGGCTTCGGAGTGTGTTGTTTGGGAGTGCTACGTTGGAGCAGTTGGTTGAGTTTTGTGGAAGGGAGGGTGGTGGTGATGCTGCTGAGGTGGCGTTTGGGGTACTTGTTCGGGTTTGTACTGATCCTTGCAATGGTTTGATGCCGGATTAAAAAATGCGGTTGAGGGGCAATACTAAGAGGGTCTTAGACCTCATGAAGAAGCTCCGGGTGACGGAAGTTCAGTATCATAGGGACTTGTTTTTTGCTATTGTTGAGTCCAAGGCTTCTTTTGGGTTGTCGTATTTGAAGGAGTTTCCTTACAACATTGAGAAATTTAAGTCTTCTTCATGGATTCCTGCAATATCTGTGGCAGCTCAACTGGTTTCGTTGGTTGGTAATGGCATTTCTAAGGAATTTATCGATTCCCGATCCAAGGTTCCACGCCTGTTGGATAATATGGATTTGCACAGTATTGTTAAATGCCTGTTTCCTCGTCCGTTCAACAGGCTATTGTTTAATAAGGGATTGTCGCACACTGAACCTTATGTAAAACATGCATATGATGGTATTAATGTCATGGGACCCGCTGCCTTAATTAACAAGTCATCATACGTGGTATGTGTGGACAAGAAGGTGAATATGATGGAGTTAATGTCGTGGGACCGCCTTAAATAACAAGTCATCATACGACATAGTAGTACAATTTGATGTATTGCTCCCATAAATGAATCGTAGAAGGAAATTTGAAAGGGACTATTTGACTAATTCAGATTAAGGGATTAATATTTTTAAAAGAAAATAATTACAGTGGTGGTCCGCACCATTATAATTTTTTTTTAAAATAAATAATCAAATTTTGGTTTTGTTATATAATATTCAAATTTTTTGGTAGTTTAATATTTTTTGTGAGCAAATTGAGTCAAGAAGTTACCAAAGTAACCTCTCTTGAATTGGGCGGTTCATGAAAAATATTGAATGTTAGTGTTTTGTGTATATTCATGCGAGTATTAGTCGGCCCAAAGGAAGATTAATATTTGACCGAATTGCACACACACTTGTAATAATAAACATGTGATAATTATAAGGATTTGCTTTGTCGATGATAAATCAATCCAAAGACTGGTTTGTTGTTGGACGTGCTTTATTGTCAATGTTTGATTATTACAACAAGATACCTCTAGCGAGTTAATATTACTGTCCAAAGACTTGATATTGATGGTGCATTGGGTGTCTTGAGATGGGTTAAACCATTATTTGAATATATATATATTTTATTTATAATTATTTATTTTATAATGTGAGCATAATTAGTTTATTTCTTTTGTTCTAATCCAGCTACAATTGCTTCTGTATACTGCAAATTTAAATTACGTTCGGTCCTCAATGGAACAAATTTTAAGGACTAGAAAGAGAATATTGATATTATTCTTGGCTGCATGGATATGGATCTTGCGTTAAGGACTGAGCAACCCCCTACTCCTACCGATTCAAGTACCTCTGAACAGAAAAGAGATTATGAAAAGTGGGATCGCTCAAATCGCATGAGTCTAATGATCATTAAGCGCAACATCCCGGAGGTGTTTAGGGGCACTGTTTTTGAAAACATCACAAGTGCCAAAGAGTTCCTTGCTGAAATTGAGCAGCGCTTTGCAAAAAGTGATAAGGCGGAGGCAAGCACTCTTCTTCAGAACTTGATCTCCATGAAATATCAGGGCAAAGGAAATATCAGGAAGTACATTATGAGCATGTCTAATATTGTTTTTAAACTCAAGGCACTAAAGCTCAAACTCTCAGAAGACTTGCTCATTCATTTGGTGTTGATTTCTCTTCCCGCAACGTTTAATCAGTTTAAGGTATCTTACAACTGTCAGAAGGATAAATGGTCTCTTAATGAGCTCATTTCTCATTGCGTGCAAGAAGAAGAAAGACTAAAACAAGACAAGACAGAAAGTGCTCATTTTGCAAGCACCTTTAAGACTAAAGGCAAAAGAAAGAGATCGGAGGATCCCAAGAAGGAAGCTACTAAAGATCCAGAACAAAAGAAACAAACTCAAGAAAATAAATGTTTCTTTTGCAATAAGACTGGACACGTAAAGAAGCAATGTGCTAAATATCATGCTTGGCGTGAAAAGAAAGGGTTGCCTAAACTACCGGAAGCCAACTGATTCTGAAAGATAGATATACGTTGAAAAATGACAAATCGGTGGAGACGGAGACTATTGGACATTTTAGATTATTATTGTGTACTGATTTTTTATTTTAGATTTAAAAGACATTTTTGGTTGTGTCGTCTTTTAGACAGAATTTGGTTTCAGTTTCTTATTTGGACAAATTAGGTTATTTGTGTTCATTTGGAAACAATAAGTTCAGTTTGTCTTTTAATTCAGATATTGTTAGAATTTGTTCACTTTTGACTCATGATAATCTATATTTACTTAATATTGTGGTCACCTATAATGAAACTCTTAATACAGAATCTCGTGGTACTAAACTAAAATTAGACTCCCGAACAGTAAGTAGTTACTTCATTGGCTATTCTGAAAGAGCCAGGGGATATAAATTTTATGATCCCACATTAAAGACAATTTTTGAGATGGGAACTGTTATGTTCTTTGAGGATATTGAGTTTGGGGGGAAGAATAATATTAAAAATTTTGTATTGGAGGAAGAATCGACAATAAATCCAGAACCGATTCAAACAGTTACTTTTGATAAAGTAAGTTCAGAACCTCCACAAGACATTGATGATAAACCCCATATTCAAGATGATTTGATTGTTCGTCAAGACCAAACTCAAGATCCTCAAGAACCTGTGCGTCATGAGCCGGGGATACTCCAGTTACTAAGGGAGACAAGTTTAGTCTAAATTAGTGCCCAAAGGGGAATTTGGAAATTGAGGAAATGCAACAGATTCCCCATGCATCAGCTATCGGGAGTTTGATGTATTCCCAAATAT